CAGGGTTGTTGTAGCCTCCATTGGGGTCTGTACGCTCTTGGCGTCGCCCAAACGAAAACGTTCGACGATGGTCGCAACATATGCCTTCTGAGACAGCGTGATGGTACGTGCCACTCTATCCCTTGTTACCTTCAGACCTAACAACCACTTTAGCTCTCCCAGGTCCGATATCTCGAAATGCTTCTGGAGTTCGGACTTGAATCGCTGGATGTGGGCTACGTGGTTCGCTGTTACGGCCATGTCGTCCACGGACACTGTGATGACTGTATGCTCGTTGGAGGTACGTTTATAGTAAACGGCTTGATCGACTTTGGACCGGCTGAATCCCATCGCTAGGAACACGCCCGATAGTTCTTCGGCCCACTCAAATCCTGCCTGTTTCAGGCCAGGCAAACTCCTCCTCAATCTCAGCACCTTTCCACGCTGGTCCTCCTTCAAGTAGCCGGGCGGGGCACGCATATATATTTCCTCCTGGATGCTGGCATATAGGTAAGCGCTTTTGATATCAACCTGGTGTATCTCCCAGTTTCGCTGAGCTGCCATTGCTAGGACCATCCGGATTGTTATCATGCTGGCGGTGGGGGCAAAGGTGTCGAAGTAGTCGACGCCGAGCTTCTGCCTCTGCCCGTTAGCCACGAGTTGGGCCCGCAACTTCAGCTTCTCGCCGTCCGGTCCGCGTTTGGTGGCCAGGACGTAATGGCACGGTATGACGTTGGCGCCTCGAGGTGGGTCCACTACCTCCCACGTACCTAGCTTCTCCAACTGACTTATCTCATAGTCCACCGCCTCTTGCCATTCAGCGGCATCAGGACCGTTTAGGGCCTGTTGGAGTGTGGGTTCCGGCACTGCGGCAGCCAAGGCAAGGTGAAGATAATTTTCTTCATCCATTAGGTCTACCTCTGACGCCTCTAACAGATTCTCCATCGTTAGGGCAGCCGTCTGACCCTCGTTTAGGGCCGCATAGTATCCGGGGGGTGGTCTTGCCCTCGTCGGCCTCGTTGGAGGAGTAGATGGCTGAGGTTGCTCAGGAGTAGATGGCTGAGGTTGCTCAGGAGTAGATGGCTGAGGTTGCTGGGCGGTAGATGGTTGAGGTTGCTGAGGAGTAGATGGCTGAGGTTGCTGTGGCATGGTGATGGGCTGGACGCTATTAGGTGAGTTATTATTACTGTTGCTGCTATTATGTTCGTTAACAGCAGTAGACTCCCCCTCGTCCGGCATACCATCGGCTGCCAGGATCGGTGTGAAGGTGACATTCCTTTCCACCGTGACTCGACGCCTGCCGGGCCAATATACCCGGTATCCCTTACTCTCAGCGTCTACCCCCACGAAGACTGCCTCCTCTGCTCTCGCCTCTAGCTTGCCAGCCTCCAGGGCATGGACGAAAACCGTTGCCCCAAACTCGTGGGCTCGCGACAAGTCTGGTTTGGACTTGCGCACCATCTCGTAGGGCGTGCTACCTGGGATGGCTCTCGAAGGTAAGCGGTTCTTGAGCCATGTCGCATAACTAACGGCCTCGGCCCACAGATACTTTGGCATGTCTTTGCCCAGGAGCATCGCTCTCGCATGCTCGACCAGGGTGCGATTGAGTCGTTCGGCGACACCATTCTGTTGCGGTGAGTCGTGCATCGTTAGTTGTCGTTCGATGCCTTGCTGACGCAAGTATTGCTCGAACTCAGTGCTCAGATACTCCCCTCCTCTGTCTGAACGGACTTTGCGCACGCGCACACCTGGCGACTGCCGGGTCACCCATGCCTCGTAGGACTTGAACGCTGTAAGTGCGTCACTCTTTTGTTTGAGGAATTCCAGTCGTGTTTGGCGGCTAAAGTCGTCCGTAAAACTGACATAATATTTGCAGCCACCCAAACTCGTCGTCTGGGCCGGTCCCCAGAGGTCCGTATGGACTAGATCCCCATAGGTGAGTGCACGTGTTTTCGTCTCTTTGGGAAAGGATTGCTGCGCTGACTTAGCTTTCACGCAGGTATCGCAGAATTCGGCTTTAGATTCCAGGTCTAGGTCCACGCCCACTATCATCCCCTTCTTCACAGCGTCCGCCAATGCGTTTTGGCCAACGTGGCCCAGCCTACGATGTAGCTGGCCAAGGGTAAGCTTTTCTTTTGCTACGTTTGCGTGGTGACCCTGACACGCTTTTGTCATCACGCTGTATAGTCCCTCGACCTGTGGGATTTCGGCTATGACCTTTCGTTTAGGGCTGTGCGACAAAATTTTGCACATCTTCCCTTCAAATAGCACGGCCAGGCCAGCGGACGCAATTCGGTTCGTTGATATCAACGTGAATGCCATTGTGGGGGCATATAGCGTGTCTCTCAGCGTGACGCTGGTGCGTTTTGCACCCAAAGGTAAGTCGATCTTCACGTCTCCTCGTCCAGTAGCATTAACGATGGATCTGTTTGCTGTGTAGACCTTCTGGGGGCTTATTACGACAAAATTGTCGAACTTGGACCTGTCCAGACAGAAGTGGGACGTTGCGCCGGAGTCAACAATAGCTCCTCGGCGCTCGACAGGTATGTGCATGCTTTCTGCGACGGTCGCGAGGTCTGACGTCACGAAGGCATAGTTATCTTGCCCTTCGGACTCCTTCGCGACATTGGCACCTTGTTTTTGGGTACGTCCTCCTTGCCTTTGCTTCTGCTTCGGTCCCTGACCTTCCTTTCCTCCCCCTTTCCTCCAGCACTCGCTCTTATAGTGACCCTTACGGTCACAGTTTTGGCAGAGTGCGTTGGGGTTGTAGTGAGGGATTGCGCCATCCGAGGGTTTTGACCTTCGGTCGTTTCCTCGGACTGAGAGGGCAGAGTTTCCTGCTCTCTTGGACGGGCATCTATCGGTGAGCAACCGATGCTCGTATTCCTCGCTGATGACATTGACGAGTTCATAGGTACTTATGGGTTTCTGTGTGACTTTTGCCGCAGCATTAATCGACGACAGGATGGGACGATAGGATTCGGGGAGGGATCCTAGGATTATGGCGTAGAAGTCCTTCTCGTCGATGGAGGCTCCCATTCCCGCGAGCGATTCGCGGAGCCGCAGCATCTCGCTGAAATGTGCTCGTACGTCCCCGTTCTCTTCGCATCGGGTTTCCTGCAGGCAACGACGAAGATCGATCTGGACTAACTCTGTTTTCCCCTCGTGAATCAGACACACCTCGGTCCAGACATCCGACGCAGCCTCCAGCTTTTGCACGCGCAACAGGAGTCTGTCCGTTATGGTGCTAAACACCTGCTGCTTTACTAAGGAGTTGCGCTGATAATATTCGTCTAGCTTCTTATCGAGATCATCGATCTCTGTCTGAGTGGGTATGGTACCGTCTTTCTTCGTCACAGCGCCGGTCTTCGCATCGACCAGGAATTCTATAGGTTTCTTTGCCTGGCCGTCCACATAACACATCAAGCCTCTTGCTCCGATCGCCGTCAACGTACGTTCTTTGTATGTGATCCAGTTTGTGCCATCTTCGGCTAACTTGGGTACGTTGAATAGGGACGAACTGGTAGCGGGGAGCGTTGTGTCCATAGCCGGGGCAGGGCTCATAACCTATTGAGAGTATAGCGAGACGGTCACGCGCAGCTAGACACAAAGGTACGAATATCTCAGTATTCGAGTTGAAACTCCGATTAACAAACGTTGTACCTAGACACAAAGGTACGAATCTAATATAACGTTAGACCTCGAGTCGAACGTTACGAAAATACTAACTTACATCTCAGTATTCGAGTTGAAACTGAGATGTTTGGATGCGGGTACCTGGGCTTATAAGGTGAGTCTCCCAGGTACAGTCATTTATGCTAAGCTAAACTAAAAGATGGACAGCGCACGAGTTGGCCATGACACGTCGACCTCATTCTCCGTTTGGATGCGCTCGCACTTGGTGTCCTCTCCCTTGGCTCTACGCTTCGGCCGGTTGCTGCCTCTCCCTCTCGGCTCTCATCCGTTCGGCCTTGTCTCCTTCGGATTCGTCGGATCCCAACACTTACACCTGACAACGCTTACTTTTTGCAAGAACTTGACGTCTTTCACCACGGGTCGAGCTTGTATGTGGTCCATTCCAGGGCAAGCAACCCCAGAGAATCTTGAGATAGGGTGCAATCCAAAGTTTCAAGGTCATCTCATCGAGTGAAAGCTGCCCTTGTGCAATTTTGTTCAGTACTCAATTGTAAGGATATTTTGACCAACACAAACCTCGGTGCGCACGTAAACTCGTGTAAGGTAAACGAAACACATTTTTTGGGCCGACCTCCGGTACAGGCTGCGGGTGGTACTAACATGCTATAGCCAAAATCGATCAAGCGAATGCTCTGATGATTTGTAGGACAGAGTAGATGCTATTCGACTTATGTCACAATGAATAAGGTGCACGCGTTTCAATGCCGAAAGCTGGCACGCAGAGGGTTAGGCTTATAGGTAAACGATACAGTGAGAAAACACGTACCATTTGTACAGCCCGCTGAGGAGCGATCCTGTTTCACACTGCCTCAGCTTGTCCGCGGATATCACCTATGCTCGGCCCCAATATTTCCGTTGGGAGATACTCAACTGACGACCTACACCAAAGGGGTAGCTGGATGGTTGCACAAGGTTCGAACTTGACGCGGGATTCATGTTGCAATATATTTTACGTTTGAGCCGCAGCGGTGCGTGGGACTTCTTTGCGGCTAGTAGTACTCCGCCTGACCATAATTTTGTTTTTGGCCTATGGTGTGAGGCAATATTAAGTTCAATGATGGGAATCTGCGAAGATTAAAGTACGCACCCATTCCAACGCGGAAACCAAGCACTGGACCAGGCCATCAGGATTTGGCTGAAGCACCGCCCTTGATAACGTTTCCTGGAATAATTAGTGATGCAAAAGCCAATTGAAACCTTAGAAGTTTAAGTATGAGTGAAGTAGCATGAGTCGCAAATACCAGTGATCATGTTGTTCGCTGTATGGATGATGCAGTATCACAGTATGCATAAAATTCGTGACGAGCATGGCAGTACACAGAAAGCTACCACGTGGCTAGATTCATTCCGTGAGCTTGGATATTTGCCACATACATCGCCGTCTCCTCCAAAATAATGAGACCAGACTTCGTGAACATCAGCTCGGCCGTGGTGCTGTTTAGATAGAACTTCCCAATGAGCGTGCCTTCCCCATTCCAGACATTAATACCATCGCCGCAGCCGGCATAAACGTTGCCCTTGGTATCAAGCTGAATGCCATCGGGTGCACCAGAGTCGCTGTAGGCGAACACTCTACGATTCATGAACGACTGCGTCGTTGGGTCGACGTCGAACTGATAGCTTTAGAATTCGCTTGAGTATCTGATTACCATCGTTGTAGGTGAGAAAACTAACATTGTGGCCGGAAAGGTCTGATTTGTCCCGAGGAAGCCTCCAAAAATACCCGTGTCGGTGCTGATGCATCATTCTAATCCATAAACACGAGAGAAAAAAAACCAAACTTACACGAATGCAGTTTTGCCATTTGGCGTGAACGCAATACCATTCGGGTGCACAAACTGGTCAGCGACAACTCTGACCTGCCCAGTCGATGGATCAAAGCGGTATACTTGTGATAGTAACATTGGTTCAGGACGGAAACCGTTTAGCCACCCATAGCTGGAGAAGCCATTAACATTGAAGATATAATGATCTCATCGATTGCTCACGCAGGATCGGTGAAGAACATGATGTCCGTGCCAGGGAGAATTTTGATATCATTGAGCGAGTTGAACTGTCTGCCCAAGAAGTTGTCCAGAATAACAGTGGTGTTGTAGGGAGGGCTAGGATTGACGCGAACAACAGAAGGCGGAAGCAAAGCGCGGCCTGAGGTAACGAACAGAAGGTCTCCCTTGTATGGGCCTGTTCCCCCGTTGACCATTTGGACATTATCGGAGAGGTTGAGCTGAAGTCAGGATGGTTAAGCATCAATGATCAAGCGGGAGTGACCCACTGTTTGAACCTGGATATTGACATTTCCAGGCGTAGAAGCCAGCGCCATGTCGACTTCTGTCATGTTGATCATGCTAACAACGCTGCTGTTATACCAGCCACTGTACCCAAGTGCGCCCCCGCCATTGCTTGCAAAGAAGACCAAGTTGAGATCTGGAACGTAGATGGGCGCTTCATGGGCAAAAGCAAAGCCAGGATTCGAAGCAATTTCGCGAATGGTGGCAGATGGTCCGGTGACATCGAGGAATGACGAGTCAAAGACCTGAATGAATGGGGGTGCACTGTTGGTGGGGTTAAAACCAATAAGGGACGAGTTGCGCCATTTTGTGTAGTTTGCTCCCACAACATTGTATTGTAAAGGGTCGATGTACTGCGAGAGGGCAGACGTTTAGATGCAATTTAGCACTACACAATTGCCATTGTCGACGCACGACTGCTCCAGGCGGCGACGCTCTTATGGACGACGCGGCAGCAAGGGCGATAGCCAGAATCGCACCAACTGCTGATTTCGTCATTGTTGATGAACTATTTCCTGGCAAGTCTGGTTTTCTATGACGGTCAGACATCTCACTTTTAACATAGTCTTGATAGTAATACCAGGAAGGCTCTGAGTACAGTCCGTATCGGAATTGATATCGATGCGCTGGCCGGTCAAAGTCAGATGATGAGTAAGTACAAAGTTATACTGACAAACCAACCATTAAATAATTCATTGATGATCTTTTTGATTCTAGCCGCATTAGCAGAACATTACGTACCGCATGACACCGCACAAGATCAAGAAAAGAGTTGTTCGTTGTCTTCTTGGAACAACTCTTTTGCTCGTGTAATCACACGAGATAATATAGGCAACATTGTACCGATATTATTTATGATACATGCAGTGTTGAATCGGTATGAGCATATCGATAAAACCCTATTGATGATAAACAAGATCTTGAATGCATGGAACATCACATATAGCGTCGACTTGCGGCAGGGATAGCAATGAACGGCTAGCCAAGTCAGACCATATGGTAGGATATGATGACAACCAAAGCACGATGATCATCTCCTTCAAAGCTCTGGATCGATGGAGAACTGAACGATAAGCTCAAGGTTTTCCTTGTCGTTGTCGAGTACCTTGTTGCAGCGATCGTTCCATTTCTTCTGCACCACAGCTAGAAATCAGCTGCTGTGGTGAGCACCATTTGCAAGGATACGATGGAGAGAGGCCAAAACTCTAGCATTTCCAGTAGGTTTCTGATGTCCTCCTCGACATAGTTGCAAAAGCAAGTACCGTCATAGATTGGACAAAAAACCTACGCAGAGATCAGATCCAGTGGCGTCATAATTCATAACATGACAGGCTTCAGGAACATTCTCACTGCCTCGCGACATGAGAATCACGACCGGAATGTATGATAGCTGGCGGCATTTGCTCGATCCATAGGCGTCTTCGGAAGGTGCTGGCAAAATGGAGAAATAGGGAGATTCGTTAACGCCTGCAAGATCTGTACCCAAGGTACCTGCAAGACAATTCGTACAAGCTTCAAACATAATGGTCGAAGGTTTCTTGATATCATAGGTCAGGAAGCCCATGATAAGTGGCTCGTTGAGAATTGCTTTGGCAAGAAAACTCTTCCGGTGCCTCTTGTCCCGATCAATATTAATGCTCATCATTAACGACGAAGTTACAGGGACATACATTATGAAGCACGAGGACACGATTTAGGTCCTTTTTCCATTCAGCAAGCCTTCCGGTTGCAATCAATTGTGACAGAGAGGAGTCCCTGCCAAATTTTTGCTCCTTCTTCGAGGTTATTCCACTATCATAAGGTCAACTGATTTGTACGGTGTGATTGTTGTCCAGCTACGGAAAAAAGTCCTTTGGTGAATCATTGCATCATTGTTCAAGCCTAGAAGAACTTCAACTTGGGAAGACCAAGTCATGCCGTGACCTTGTCGCGTCATGTGATAAATGTCACATACGTGTTGTCACAAGTATCCGTCTTCGCCATTGATAATTTGATATTGTTTATCCACAAACTCGATGGCACGCGGAGGTCGAGGTACTTTTGGGCTCACATCCAGTGGTAGAGGTCGCGGGTACAGAGGCGGTACTCGTGGAAACACACACTTTCGTGGTCGTGGACGAGGTCGTGGTCGTGGTCGCGGCGGGTCGAATGCAGCAGGTGATGGTCCAGCCCCGCAACGGGAAGATGATGGAACGCAACTAGAAGAACGCTTTGAACGGGTTAGAGAGAGCGATGAGATTGACGAGAAGCTGGGATTTATGAGAGTGCAAGAAGGTGCCAGGAAGGAGGGCTGGTTGATTAACATGCATCCCGTGAGTGTCGCGTTTGGTGTCTAAGAGCCCAAGTCATTTATCTGTGCACATCCTTTAGACTCTAATAAAGGATGCGGACTACCCGGGTGGAAAGGCGGCAGTCGATTTTTACTTCATTCAAGATGACGGAGGAATGTTCAAGTGCACAATGCAGTACGAGCCTTACTTCTACATTGCATGCAAGGTGAGTCTCTACAGCTTCCTGTGTCTATGATATCAACTATATTCTGCAGACTGGGTCAGAGTCTTCTGTTGAAGAGTGGTTACACAAGCGGTTTGAAGGCTTGATTGTACGGATCGTGCGTGAGAAGAAAGAGGACTTGAAGTTGCCCAACCACCTCATGGGCCATCGTCGTCTGTACATGCAGTTGTGTTTTCGAAATGTGAGCGACCTTCTGGCCGTGCGACGGGACATAGCCCCTCTCGCACTTGCAAACGGCGCAAAGCGAGACGCGATCGACGCGTATGCCGAAGTTGTAGCGGCAGCGAGCACGAGTGTAGAGCTTGAAGGGGAGTGGGCGGAGATCAACAGAAGCAATGCAACAAATTACAGGGACCGAGATGCACCGTCATGCATCGTGGACATCCGCGAGTTTGACGTGCCTTACTACTTGCGAGTAGCCATTGACAACGAGATGCGAGTGGGACTATGGTATGGAATCACGTTTACAGCTGGACAACCTTCGTTTGTGCAGTTGACAGAGAAGGTGAAACGCGCGGATCCCGTGGTGATGGCCTTCGATATCGAGACCACGAAAGCGCCGCTGAAGTTCCCAGATGCGGCGGTGGACCAGGTGATGATGATCTCATATATGGTGGATGGTCAGGGGTTCTTAGTAACGAACCGGGAGATCGTAAGCGAGGATATTGATGACTTTGAGTATACGCCGAAGGAGGGGTACGAGGGTCCGTTCATAATCTTCAATGAGAAGGACGAGGTGATCCTGTCGTCTCTGTGTTTACCTCGGACTCACATTTCTCGCAGGCAGCTACTATAATGCGTTTTTTTAACCACATCAGGGATGTGAAACCTACGGTGATGGCAACGTTCAACGGCGACTTCTTCGATTTTCCGTTCCTTTTGGAACGCTCAAAGGCAAACGGGTTGGACATGTTCTTGCTGACGGGGTTCGCTAAGGATAACGAGGATGAGTTCAAGTCCCGCGGATGCGTGCACATGGATTGCTTCAGGTGGGTAAAGCGGGACTCCTATTTACCACAGGGAAGCCAGGGCTTGAAAGCAGTCACAACAGCCAAGCTTGGGTACAATCCAATTGAACTCGATCCGGAGTTGATGACACCGTGAGTCTATTTTTTTCTCTCTTTATGATGTTATGTTTGAGCTGTGTACGTGCTATATCGCTTCTGAATAGTTTTCTCGATTTGGCGCTACTTTTCTGTTGTTTCACTTTCATCGCATTTCAATCCTGACATTGTTGACGTATTCCTTGTAGCTATGCGATGGAGCAACCACAGATCCTTGCGCAGTACTCCGTCTCCGATGCGGTAGCGACATACTACTTGTACATGAAATACGTGCACCCCTTCATTTTCTCACTATGCAACATCATTCCGCTCTGTCCGGACGAGGTCTTGCGAAAAGGAAGTGGCACGCTTTGCGAGACGCTCCTAATGGTATGTCCGAGGCCTTCGTGGCTTTCAATTATAGCTGACTTCACACATGAACTAGGTTGAGGCATACCGTGGGCATATCATCATGCCAAACCGCCACGAGGACGTGCATCTGAACATGTTCGAGGGCCACTTACTTGCATCAGAGACGTATGTCGGAGGTCACGTTGAGGCACTCGAAGCCGGCGTATTCCGCAGCGATATCCTTACAGACTTCAAGATTGTGCCCGCAGCTGTACAACAAGTAAGCTTCCTGTCACAGTGCGATCCACCTCAGACTTACGTTTAACAGCTCATCGACGACCTTGATGCCGCACTCACCTTCTGCATCACCGAGGAGTCCAAATCCTCCTTGGAAGATGTGACCAACTATGATGAGGTTAAGTCGCAGATACAGTCGGCGCTCGAAGTATTACGCGATACCCCAAAGCGCACGGACAAGCCGCTAATTTACCACTTGGATGTTGCAGCGATGTACCCGAACATCATGCTTTCAAACCGCTTGCAGCCAGATTCGGTGGTCGATGAGTCTGTATGCGCGGTGTGCGACTTCAACCGTCCCGGAAAGTCATGCGATCGACGGCTCGAGTGGGCATGGAGGGGAGAGTTTTTTCCTGCGAGGAGGGACGAGTATAACATGATTAGGCACGCACTAAATCAGGAGACCTTTCCCCCGAAGAGGCCTGGGGGTCCTCAGAGGCGGTTCCCAGACTTGACGGACGCGGAGCAGACTGCATTGTTGCATAAACGCCTGGGTGACTACTCTCGGAAGGTGTACAAGAAGATCAAGGATACGAGGGTGGAGACAAGAGAATCGATCGTATGTCAGCGGGAGAACCCCTTCTATGTCGACACAGTGCGACGTTTCCGTGACCGTCGGTATGAGTACAAGGGGCTGCACAAAACGTGGAAGAAGAATTTGGACACCGTGATCAGCGAGGGACGCTCAATCGCAGAGGTCGATGAGGCAAAGAAGATGATTGTGCTCTACGACTCCCTGCAGCTTGCACACAAATGTATCCTTAACTCGTTCTACGGATACGTGATGCGCAAGGGTGCGCGGTGGCACTCCATGGAGATGGCAGGAATCACCTGCCTTACAGGCGCAACGATCATCCAGATGGCACGCGCGCTCGTCGAGCAGATCGGTCGCCCGCTGGAGCTCGATACAGATGGAATTTGGTGCATGCTTCCTGGTGTCTTCCCGGAAAACTTCAAATTCAAACTGAAGAACGGGAAAGCCATCGGGTTCTCCTACCCGTGTACGATGCTCAACCACCTTGTATACGCCCGCTTTACCAACCACCAGTACCATGACCTGGACGCCTCAACCGGGGAGTACGTCGTGCACAGCGAGAACTCCATTTTCTTCGAACTAGATGGGCCGTATAAAGCTATGATTCTCCCATCGTCGAAGGAGGAGGACAAACTGTTAAAGAAGCGGTATGCAGTCTTTAATGACGATGGGTCGCTTGCGGAGCTGAAGGGGTTCGAGGTGAAGCGCCGGGGAGAGCTTCAGTTGATCAAAATCTTCCAGTCACAGATCTTCGAGAA